AGAAGTACCAATTCTGTGTGTGGGCATAAATTTCATAGAACACTTACTGTATTTTAAGTGAATTATGTCATAAGCCTAGTGGCTAGGATGAGCAAAATAGTATCCAGGTGAGTTATAAGGGGAGAGATTTAATCCCAGCATGAATTAAGAACACAACGTGGGCAGAAATTGTTAGTAAATTGTATTTACATAATTTTTATGGGGTTCTTAAGAACACAAGTATTTATGTCATGACAATGCGAAGGGAAATCATGACTCATTTTCTGTGAAGAAGTTAAGTTTTAGAAAGATTTAGAGTTTAGTATGTGGTGTAAATGAGCTTTAATCAGCTGATTTATAACTAATTTTTAATCAGTGGAAGTAATATGAAAGAAAGTGAGTAATATTGAAAGTCATCTAGAGTGTTGTGGAGTAAAAGCTAGAAACCAAAAGAAATTAAAGGTTCTTTGTTCTCTGTTTCTTAACTGAAAGTATTACTTTACCAGCAACAGAATTTATTCTTTCAAAATTGAAGTGACTAGTTTGGCCCAGTGCTGCTCTGGAATATTTTGAAGTGTTGATCAATTCATAACACATTTATGCTGGAAATATGCTACACAATATTGCATGCAATATACAGTATATATGACATAGCTGTCCAAGCTTGTGTATAAGCACAGAAGCTTTGTATGTTACATAAAAAAACCTCCACACGTTTTCATGAGTGGAAACCTAACCTAGGTTTGTGCACTCACAGTTTGTGTGCACAAATACATTCTGTTCTACACACAGGGAATCCTGCAGTTACAACTGTGTGTGAGTTACATTTAACAATGATCTAGGGGACTCTTCTTTAGAAATGGGCTGTCTTGAGAGATTAAATGGAAATACTTTCGTGGCTGCTTCATCCATTTTCATAGATTTGATTCTGTTTAGTACTGGCTTTTTACGGATAGCTACAATTTAGTCTTGAATTTGAGGATGACAAAATTTGTGTCCACTAATCAGCTACATTTAATAGGAGGTTTCTGTATGTTGGGGGAGCAGAAGATGTGTATGAAAATGCAAATGGTATAGGTTGGTGTGTAAAACTTTGTAGATTCTGACATAAGGTGTTTAGTATTCTCCAGTTGCTACTGCTGTCTAACCCTTCAGATACCTAGGCAACAAGAACACTTACTGTTATCAACAAATTTCATCCTCCTCTTCAGAAATTAGAACCACTGTGATGTTGGGGAAGGTCTGTTTGGGTAGGAACCTGGAATGCAGAAATTTTTAAAAGACATTTGTGCTGGAATACTGCAGAGACTAACACCGAGCTACTAAAAAAAAAAAAAAAGCCTTGATAAATCATTATGGTCTGATGAGCTTACTGACTTTTGTTTTTAAGGAGAAGAAGAAAATTGAAAAGAAATGTTAGTGCCATAATGAGTGGAAAGTGTCAGACATTTATAAATAATGGAATAAATGAAGTGTCACATCCTTATATGAGGGATGTGTGCATGTGCAATATGCAAGTGATATGGTCCAGCCTTCTCACCTCACTGTCTATCTTTTTGAGGCTTGACTAGTGGAGAGTAGTTAAAACTAAAATGTTAATGTCAGTTGTTGATCACAGTTGTTCAAATATCCTCTCTTTGCCAGCTGGAAACAAGTTCTGCAAGGGTTAAATTTGCGTTAAAAAAAAAAAAAAGAGAAAAAATTTCATTATGTCAGATTTAGAACAACCTGTAGGAACTTTTTCAGATAATTTGTGGAGTTTTTATGAGTTTTATGTGAAGTATGTGCTAAGTGGAATGCAGAAAACTGCTTTTTGGTTATATCCTTTCAGAAGAGAAGTGTGGCCATATGCGGAAGGTCTTTTTAAGGTTTCTGTTGTGTGAATCCAAATAGTTATAGCAATTCTAATACTCTGTTGCATTGAGGGCAGGATGGTAAGGAGTGCATGAAGGGGCAGGTTGTCTGTAAGGGCATGCTTGCACTAGAGGGAAGGATGACAGCAAATACATGAGGACGAGATGAAATGCTCTGACCAGTTGTCTGTTGTGTAACAGGAGTAGCAGGCATCTTGATGTGGACTGGAATTGCATTATTTCCCTGCTAACTTTTGAAACTGGCAAAGAGAACTTGTCTGTAGCAGAATGACTTTTCCAGTAGTGGAAAAAACCTGTTGTTCGTACAAACCTGCTTGAGTCTGACCACTGGTAATCCTTTTGTTTTGTTCTCCTCCAGGAGACAACTGGATGCAAAGGCTTCTTGGTTTATCCAGCCTGAGCTTTCTTTATACATATATATATAGTTTCATACCAGTTTCCTAAAGGGAGACTGAATGTTAGAACCTGTGTGCTTTGGTTGTGGCGTAGTTAGTATTCTCTGCTGTGAGGGTTTTGGGAGACTTCTGAGGCTCAACATACTGAAGTCCTACCTTCTGACAAGGAACGGTTGACTGTAATCTATTCTATGCAATCATTTTCTGTGATCCTAATTTGTTATGCTAAATAGTTGTCTGTGACAATTCAGTTTCACTGTATGATAATGTATGACTTCTGTAGTCTGTTAGCTCTCAACTGAAATGCTTATGTGGGTAGTCTGGTTTCTAATTGCTACTGTGGAACACTTCACCCTTCTACTTGTTTGGTAGACATCTCTTTATTGGCACAAAAGGAGTCTTCTGACCAGATGTGGAAGCTGCACGTTTTCCTTATCTCTATCCCTGGTTGTTCACCTTGTAAGGCAGAGGAGAGGAGAACATCTTTTAAGAGGAAGGAGGCATACTGCTACTTAGTGCCTGGCTCCTACTTCAGTACTTCAAACTGCATTTTCGAGTGAGTTTTTTATGTATGTAAGTCCCACTGAGAATGCAAACCAGACAAATCGTCTTTACTGTCAAAATGCTGTATTGTGTAGAGTATTCAGAAAGCAGGAGAAAGAAGAAACCAGGTATATTGGCCTTATTCTAAATCTAGAAAGTTTTTTGCTTTGCCAGTTCATCACATTCATGAGGTGAAGAACATCCCATTGCAAGTCATCTCTGTCTGAGGAGAAAACATGGAAAAATGTACTATTTTTGTAACTTAATTTTTCCAAAATGTTTTGAAGTGTTACTTACTGTCATTTAACTTGAGGAAGCAGTCAAGATTTCATCCTGGCATTGGGTGAATAATTTTTGAGTGTGCTTTTTCTGTTTGTCTTTTATGTGGCCTTATAAATCTATTTTGAAAATGATCTTGGATGTTTCCTGCATTTAGACAAAACTTCTGGCATAGATGAAAAAGATGCATAAGGAAAATCTCAGTCTTTGTTCCTGTATATGTAATAGCTAAAAATTTGGTTTCTTTACCCTGCTTCAACCTATAGTTGTGTAATCAAAGTAACAATGTCTACTGAGGAATTCATTAAAGTGATGTTGATGAGTGTTACCCAAGCTGAATTGTGCTGACTTGGTGGTTCCTTCCTTGGGGCACCTTATTTAATTTTTAAAATCTCTTAATTCTTTTGTTACTTACACTATTGGAATTTTTAAAGGCTTTGTTCTATAAGCAGACAGAACAGGACATGTCAATATTTGTCTGTGACCACATCCTGCAAAAACATGACTAGTTAGTCCTGTTGAAACTTTTTTTTTTTGAAGATGAGCTCAGAATTTTGTCATGAAATTCATAAACAGTTAAAAAGCTTTGTGATTTGAGTGAAAACATCATGTGAACCAACAATACATGAAAATAGCTAAGCAAATAGCAATTAAAACATGGACAATAACTTTCAGTCATGAGGTGTTGTTGGTGCTGTTTTCAGATGTGCAGAGGGAAAAGCTCTCAATTGTTCTTAAGTCGGCTGGTAACTGAATCCACGTTTGTAGAGCTTGACAACAAAAGGCTTTTTGTTCACAGTTTGTATTCATCTAGGACTTGCCGAATAAATAGAACGTAGTGTATAAGCAGGCCAATATAACACGTTTCTCAAATGACTTACCAGAAATCCATAATTTATAATAAAATATTTACAATAGCAGGTAGAAGCTACTTGTTGGAGTATTTTAGATTTCTGCATGGATGAGCATGATGCAATTACTGTGAGGAAGCTGCTGTATTTGATGGGGCAGCAAGATGTGCAATGCGAGCAAAACTCTTCCTCAGTATTACTTGCAATAATTTCATTACTTTAGTTAGGCAATACTGACTGGGGCAACGCTGGTGGGTGCTTAATAAAAGAAGCAACGAGACCTTTTACTTTTGTTATTCACAAATAAAGCACACTAAAGAAAATTATTCTATTCCTTTCTCCCAGATTTGTTCAATTCCCCCAGGCTTTGTTATCAGCATAGTTGTGTGGCCGTATGTGATTTGCATGCCAAGTAAGTGTGACTGACTTTCTCTGATGGGCCATTCAGTAACCTTCATCTTCTCACTGGTGATGTGATACTTGTGCTTCCCATGCTCTTTGTGAGAATCAGCATGCTTTTCGTAGGATGTTACTCTAATCACGATGAATGAGCAGGAACACTGGTGGAACTGTGGAAGATTTGGCATATACAATTTTTCTGATATTTTTCTGTTCATTGCATAGCGGGAAAAAAACCTGGTTAAACAGGGACTGACTTGAAAGAACACATAGAAATAACATTTGATAAAGCACACTCCCCACCCCAGTGTGTAAGGCTTTTAAATTGTATCGCCTGTGCAGGTCATGTTCTTAGAACAGCTGTGTCTAAAGACAAAAGTGTAGTGGTTCCCAAACTATGAAATGCGTTGAGGTGGTGGTTGTGTCTTGAAAAATGAACACATCATTTAAGTTGTTGACTTCAGAATTTTTTGTGGAGTATGGAACAGAAGCTTTGAGGTTTTTCTTCTCCATCTGAGAAGAAAAGTGTCTTGCCTGGTGGAAAGGTATGCATGTGGGGAAAGCACTGCAAAAGGATAAACAGCAGATTTGAAGTTCTTTGTCGGTTGATGTTTCTATGTTGGTCACTGCTTTAGACTCCTGTTGTATTAAGACTATGTTCCTTCTGTGCTCTTTTTCAGGTAGCGGTGCTACAGCAGTTGTCCAGGCAGCGCTGTGCAAACCCAGGCAAGAACGTGTAGCAATAAAGAGGATCAACTTAGAAAAATGCCAAACCAGTATGGATGAATTACTTGTAAGTAAATCGGGCAGCAATATATTACACGGAGACTTACCTTCTGTTTTGGTTTTGGTTTTTCCTTGGTCCAAGAGTGAGGGTAGAATTTTATGCAGGATGTAAAGGAAGGATTTGAAAATAATCTGGAAGACTTTTTACCCTTCCCTAAAAATATAATTTACTAATGTGTATTTTCTAGTGTCACAAAAACAAGGTCTGTAAACTTGAATCCCAGCTTGGGATAACTGTGGGAAGACCCTAACCCCTTGTTTTCTAGAGACTCAGTTTTTAAGAGATTACTGTCTGGTTGTCTGTCTTTTCTTAATACTGAGGAAAGATACATTTTCCTTCTGTTAAACACTGATTAAAAAAATGAAGGTAAAATTTAGTAGGTCTCTTTAAAATGTCTAAACCACCAAAACATGTTGGATTATTTTGTGATGATAACTTTTAAGGAGATAAGGAGGAGTGGCTACATTTTCATCTACATATTAGCACACATTTATCCGATAGGCCATAAGAAGCTGTTTGAGGAATGCTGTTTGTTTGGGCCACTGATCAGAGAAGAAAAGGACCTGTAAGAGGCCCTTTGTAAAGGAACTGCAAGAGTTTTTCCTCTGCACTGGTTATGGCAATCCAGACAAAGTCACAACGAACTGTTAAAATCCAAAACCTATTGCTTTCTAATGCTCCTAGTTAGGTACTTATAAGACTAATGCATATTTATATATAGGCAGCATAACAAGATTTTAAGGACACAAAACCATTCTAAAAGTGAGAACACTCTCTTCTGTTCCACAGGTTATACTACTGCCTAGAGACTGTGGGCTTTTTCTAATGCAGAAATTCCTGCCTCTGAAGGAAATGATCTCCTCAGCAGGGAATTGCCAGTGCAAAAGATATCTTGAATTTGATACAGAGGGTATGGTCCATCCAGTTTCTTCAGATAAAATGGCTTTTTTACAGTGGAGGACCCAAAATGCTCTTCCTCTGGTGATTGATGGCATTCACCTTCAGTTTATGTGACAGCTTGTATGCGACATTGTTGTGTTTTTTAAGAGGATTGTAGTAGTGGAAGTTGCTTCTGGGGTAGTGAGAATTCTGTCAACTAAAAACTCAAAAGATAAATTCTGAACTGTGTTTAAAAAGAGAACAGCCCAAGGTGAGACGCTGTGCATGATGTATTAACATCTACAGTCCACAAAGAACATTTCTATAAAAAGATAAATACTAATAATTGTAACATAAAGTGATTTAAATTGGATCTTTTTAGTTAGAATTTGAACTAATAATGGGAATTAAGAATTAAAAAGTTACAACAAATAAAATCAGACAAAACTGCCAAAAATCTGCAAGAGAGATTCATGTGGTCTAACTGCAGTTAGTTACCAGCTTGTTCAAAGTTACCTAACCAAGTGCTTGAGTGTCTTTACTGTTGACGTGTCTCCACTGTCTGTCAAATGAGGCAGTAGGTCTAGAATTTTTGGTCCCATATTGCTTTCTTTTGGTACAAAGACAATTGTCCATACCATCTTTTTTATTTTTTAACATAAGTCAATTTCTGCTTTTCTGTGCTCAGGTTTTTTATTTCTTTTATTTGTTGATCTGTTTTGATCTGAACATAAATTCTGTTTTTCCCAGTTCCTGGTTAGCAGAGTTTAAAAAGTGCGTACACACATGTGCATGCATACACATACATAATTAGCTTTTCTCTGTGAGGGTCAGTATACTTGCTCTGACTCAGTTCTAATAGAGAGATTTAAAAAATAAAAAAATTATATTTAAAAAATAGATACGTTTTTCTGGAAAGGGGCATCATTGACCTTCAAAACTCTTGTTACAACTGTACTAATATTTTTATTTCAGTTGATAGTATTTAGAATGTTGTTGCGTTTTTGGCAGATTTTGAGTCTAAAAATTTTGAGTCTAATCAGTTTTTGATCACTTATTTTCCTGATGAAACAGTTTTTATTGGCACAGGGATGTTCTAAAACTGTCTGCACTCTGAACACGCTGTTTTGTAAAATGCTGGTGCTGAGTGCTTGCGGATGGTGTGCATGGGCACCCTTCAGGAATTCTCAGCGGCGTGGCCTTCAGAGAAGTGGAAATGCAGCAACCCTGGTGCCCACGTAAGCAGACTTAGGAGTTGGGCCAGTGTCAATTAAAATAGAAAGGCAGTGTGAGAGGGAGTTTAAATAATACTAAGGTTACACAAACTGCCAAACTCCTGAAATTTGATACTCTGTTTCCTGCAATATCCTGTGTTCTCACTATTGTAAGCTAAGTGTAACTTAACCCCATGAGCCAAGGAAAAGGTTCCTGTCCTTAGTACTGTCCTGACTGGGTATCTTCCCCATCCTCTTGCCTCCATTTTTTTTTTTAAAACAATCAAAAACTCAAAACTACAAGACAAACAGTATTCTGCAGAATGGTTGTTTGATTGAGCAGTGTTTCTAGGCTGTTGGTGTTTCTGTTCTGGATAGCCCTTGGAGGCAGCCTCTTTGGAGGAGCCCCTGGCCTGTTAGGGGCCATGCCTGGGTGCTGGTGGAGGAGCCCCTGGGGAAGCACCTGCGGAGCGCTGGCACCTGCCCAGTCACTGGGAGCGGGACCGGCCCATGGGCACTGCAGCCGAGCACTGAAAGGAGCTGTCCTGCAGTTGCTTATTAACTGTGTCACCCACCTGCCCTGAGGCCGACAGACATTTTTGTGCAGCTGCTCAGTGAAACTGGATCAGGAATAACCTGGCCAAAATAGGTTAGCTTTTAACCTGGGCATATTGCCTGGTGCAGAGCACAAACGCTCGTGCTAGTGCAAGGCAGGGAGAAGCAGAGGGATGAGGGAGAGACTGTTACGGATTTGGTGCCGTTGAATGTTTAAGGTGACGTGAATGTGAAGGAGGTTCCGGATTGTTTTCCTGGATGTTCTGTTGCAAGTTGTTTCCCTGGCAGCATATTTTAAGTGAATACTTTTCTCTCTTATCTGTGCATATCAAGGGCCTCAAGCAAATAACTGAAGTTTATGAAAGCTTACCATTCTGTGTGTGATAGGGGCTTTCTAGTACTGCAGGTCTGAAATTAATTCTCTCCTGACTAAAATTTCACCCCTTATCTCTCATGGAATGTTTTCTGTTTGTTTATTTTTGTTTTGCAAGGAGTCTTTGAAAAAAGTCACCAAAGCTGAGACACAAGGTGCCTTTGGCCATGGCTACTGTGGTAGCTCAGTTTTTGCCCACAAGTTGATGCAGGTAGATAAAATATTCAAAGCACTTTTCAGTTAAAATAGTGAAGCTTATCTCAGTCAATTAGTTACATTTCTGCATTATTAATATGTGAGAAAAAAATAGATAAGGTGCATTTTTGCTCAGTAGTGGCAGGTGGACTTTTTGAACTATTGTTGTATTACCAGCATAGGAAAATAATAAAACAGTGTAAGAAATGAAATAGTAATCAGGAGTAGGAGAGTTACAGTTCATGGAATGGGTAGCTGAATTAAGAACCTGAGGCAGTGATTTGATGTGTGTTTAAGACGGAAATGTGCCCCACATGTCTGTCTTCTGTTTTCCACCTACTACCTTCCAGGGGAATGAGGGGAGCTGTCTTGCAAATTACTCTTGTTATTCGTCTCATTGACTCATTATCCAAGCATTCTTTCTTCTGTGGTCCAGGACTCAGAAGTTGCCTAAGGAGGAGGGCTTTGGACAACAGGACAAGCTGAAATGTGTCTCAAACTACAGCCTGACTTTAATAGTCACCAGCAAGCATAATGAGATTAAATCACAGTCTTTAATACATATAATTAACTTTTTATTAGAAAGCAGCTGTGATTTCAGGTGCATTGCAAATAACAAAAAACCTCTTTCAAACATTTGCTGAATTGAAGTTGGAAGTTGAAAATGGCATTTGTGGCAGCTTTAATCAACCTAAGTGGGACCTGCACAGTGCCTGCCTTGCACAAGTGCTGGTGAGTCAAAGTGTAACACAGGTCCACCTCAAAGCAGTTGCTTTTCATGGAGGAAGGAGAGGTGGAAGAGTTTGTTTTTGAGCTGGATTGGCTCCCTGACAGGCTCATCTCCAGGACCATGTTCTGTAGCACCAGGGATGAATCAGAGCTGTGTGGCCAAAGGTGGAGTGGGAGAAGTAAGGTTGTGGGAGCTTAAGTTGGTGTGAGGCCAAACTCTCCAGTACATGTTCCTATGTAAAGGATTGGCAGAACAATGAGAGCTGCCAAAAAGGTGGTACAGAACAAATATGTGAAAGTGTGAATAGAAAAAGGACTCTACTTGAATTAACAGATACAAGGCTGTCATTCTTAATGTGTACAGCTGTGGCATGTCATAGATGGTGTTACTTGGTAGTGCCACATTGTGCATCTGTCGGTAACTGTAGGCTCCTCTAGTCGGTTGTTTCCTCTGACTTTTGGTCTGTAACATTGCTTTTTCTCCATTTCTGTTTGATTGCGTGGCTCTGCTGTCCACCTGTCCATCTCACAGTAGCTGAGCCACTGGTGCTGTGTCCTTTGTCTGACAGCTTCCTTTCTCCTTTACCACCTGCTCCCATTCTACTCTTCGTATCCCTTTTGAACAGGAAAGGCAGTAGATTTTGATCTTGCCCTGCATTTTGTTGTCCAGCCTGTACCCACACCTTCAGCTCTTGGAGACTACTTATTCTTCATTGCTTACTGTGAATTTGGAACTTTAAAGTAATTTCTTTGCTGTTCTCAGAAGAAAAGTGATGTAGCTGTGCCTGTATCTCCTGGCCAAAGCAATAATGTTTTTTTTCTTGCATGCAGATCTATAGGTAAATTGAAATGTTTTAATGTCGTGATGCATATTCTGTATATACTTTAGTTCTGTTATAGTATTTCACTTTGGAAATTAAACTGTCTCTCTGTGCAATCAAAACTGATAGCTGGCTCTGTTATGTTGGGCTTTTTATTTCTTACAGAAAGAAATTCAAGCAATGAGTCAATGCAATCACCCCAATGTGGTGACCTATTACACATCTTTTGTGGTGAAGGATGAACTTTGGCTGGTTATGAAGCTGTTGAGTGGGGGTAAGTTACTGATTTTACTTGTTCAGCTGGAAGGAAATAGTATGATTTTTTTCCTAATGTACCTTCTTTGAGTTAATTCACCTAAACAAAGTAATGAGAGGGGGTAGATACTATATAGGATGAACCTTGAGATGTAGGCGTGTTATAGCATGAATGTGCAAGCTGAAAATGTTTGTGTATGTGTATTTATAGTACAGGCTAAGAATTACTGAGATACAGTAGTTACATCAGCAGAATTTAATTTTTGTTCTGAATCAACATATCAAAAATCTCTATTAAGGCTGTGTAGGGAAAACTGGTGAGAATTAAGTCAGTTCTGTAAGCGTGACCTTTTTTTGAGTTTCTCTAGAATCCACTCTATTTTTGTAAAAATGCGTATGTTTCTGAATTCATAAAGAGTGTTACTCATTCCTTATTCAAGGAAAATTCATCCTAGGACAACTATTACACATGTTGCATCCTTCTTCTTGCTTAAACTAACAAAACACTTACTGCAGTTTTTTATCATGATGGTTAATGGGATAAAATACTTATTTGATTCTGGGAGAGGAGAAAGAGGATGAATGTGCTTCTAGCTTAGAAAAGAGAGACTCCAAATTAAGATGTGATGGTCCTGGTTGTTACATGATGTCCTTCCAGATTAGTCTTGATGGAGCAGACTACTGCACCATGATGCTAGAAAACAAGGATGGGAAATGCTCATAACCCTTGTTATGTCACATTGATTGAATTGGTCAGTTCAATCAAAAGCATGCATAGAACATGAGATAAACCAGTGATTCATGACAGGAATTTAGTATGAGCTGTTGAATAATGCTTGGTTAAAACCAAAATGTTTCTATTAAATGCCTTGAAATTTATAATAACTGAAGTTCAATGTCAGACTGTATCACTGGGAATGTTGTCATCATGTGTTTGCAGAGAATATCTTCTTCCAGTCTTGCAGCTGTGTGTCTACATTTTGAACACAAGAACCATAATCTAAGGTGGATAATAAACCGTTGCAGTATGTGTCTGTTTAAATGTGGAGTACTCCTGAATTTTAAATAAGTGGTCACTTAGCAAGATGTTAGTGTATTTTTCTAATAGATCATTAAGTATTTTTGACAAAAAGCAGTGCTCTCTGTCTCATTTGAACAAGTTAGCAGTGTGCTTTATTCTAACAGCTAGTTACATGAAGTATTTATACGTACATTCAAAGATTTAAATTGTGGTAACATAGAAAGACTGAAGAAATACAACTTTCTTAAGAATTTGATATGATAATGCTTTGTATTTGCTTTTTTTCCTTCCTGGTTCTGCAATACAGGTTCAATGCTTGATATAATAAAGTATATTGTCAACAGAGGAGAGCACAAAAGTGGTGTGCTTGAAGAACCCATAATAGCAACAATTCTTAAAGAAGTTTTGGAGGGCCTAGACTATTTACACAGGAATGGACAAATACACAGGTAGGAGCATATACATAGTGAAAAGCATTTTCCACATTGACTGTGTAGTTTGTTGCCACTTGTCAGCTGCAGTGGCCTGGCTAAGCAAACTGTGTTGCCTCTGTCACATACTCTAAATGCGATAAGTAAATATCAGATGATAATGCTGGAGCAGATGCTGCAATCTTGATTGCAGTTTGTCACTCATAAGTACTTGCCTGGTCTTTATGCTGTGTGTCTCTCTTCTAGTTGGGATAGGCCTGTGCTGCGATAAGAATGCCAGAGCTGGGGTCTGTACTCCCGTGCCTGTTGGTGCTCCAATATCTAATCTGATTCTAGTTTATGTGATATGTTTTGTGACTTAGTTATTGTGTTGCACAGTAAAACCTGTAATCTTGGGTGCTTAGGCACTCCTGTACAAATGTGAAATTATTTTTTTCCTGGTAATCAGTAAATATCTATTACAACTCTACTGATCTTTTTTTATGACCACATGTGAAGCTGAGTGTGGTACTATGAAACTACATCTTAGTGTGAATGCATCTAGTGATTGCTCTCTTCTTTATATTCCCTTTACATGCCTTGCACCATGTGAATTGTGCAGATCCCCTGGGGTGGTCTATACGTGTCTGCTGAAAGAACCCAGAGGTTGCTCTCACTGTTTGGTTGTTGAAAGTGCTGTACTCTGACCTTGCTAATTAATTTTACTGTAGTGAATTTGTCTTTTAAGGAAGGTACCTGCACTGGATTCTCTCTTTCAAGCATTAACCTATTATAATTACACAAAAACCAGATTCACTGCAAACAGGACTCTGAGAATGGAGGTAGTGCAGATGTAGCACAGTAATTGTTCTTTGTGTACTTCTTATGTCTCCTCTTATAAGTGAACTGCTTCTGATGTAAATCAAGAGCTATATCCTCCTTTTGCAGAGGGAAAATTGAGATAAATGGAGAAATAAAGAACAATTATCTTGACTTCTGGTCTGGAATGCCGAAGATCTGCCTCAAACCTTAATTCATAGTCTTCTGTTAAGCTGATATTGTTGTGAAATGCACATTCATGAGCTTTAAGGATAACAGGACTCTTTGAGGTCAGACTTGGGAATTCCCCTCATCTCTTCCTAAAGTACATTAAAAAATATAAAAAGAGAGATATCTCTTTGTTACATGTGGCATTTCTCCATTTTTATAAAATCATCTGTAAACTGTGCCATACCGCAGAAGTCCTGTTAAAGATAATACAGTGTCCTTCTTTTTCTGATGTACATTGTAGGTGAAAGCTGTGGTATAATTCAGTGAATACTGTGTCAGGTGGAATTTGCTAGTTGGAGATGTTTCCAAAATTATTCAGAGATTTTGTTTTGTTGTTTCAATACATTCTTGTTTATATATATAGGGAAACAGATTATGTTACCTTTCAGTAGTGATGCATTAAGAATGGAATGCATGGATTAAGAATGGAGAGCTCTGAAAGCTCTCAGTTGGTGAGAATATATTTATCAAAGGTGGTAAAGTAGACTTTGGACCTAAATATTTATCTTCTTAAAATCTATCCCTGAATTTGTTCATTTTATGCCAAAGCTGAATCCAGGTCTTTCTATAGATGAGAATTTGTGAGAGTTTGAGTTCTGCGCTGTGTTCTATTGTTGTTCAGTTACATTTTATACTTCAGTTTCTTTTTTCTGCGTTTTAAATTTGAAAGTGGTATCTTGTAAAACTATTCAGTATGCAGTATTTATTTGTTTACATAAACGTGCACATATGTACTTTCATGCTAACCTCTGTTTGTACATTCTAGAGATTTGAAGGCTGGCAACATTCTTCTGGGTGAGGATGGCTCTGTACAAATAGCAGGTAATGGCGGTTGTAGCGTAATGGATAAATAAAAGAAAAAGGTAATTGCAGCTGGATCAAGGGCAATAGATACAAGTTTTTCTGTTGGCTTTTAACTGTCTCTTTTGGAGTGCTGTAGCCACAAGTTACCCAGTTACGGATTTCAGGATTCTTGGTTAATGATATGTGATTCAGAAATTATTCAGTGTTTCTCTGTGTCCTATCAAATGTATAAGGAAACTTTTTAATGTCCTTTTTTGTTTCCTTTTGATTTGCCCGTATGCCCTAAACAGCTTGAAAATGGTAACAAGTCATATTTCTATTAATTTCATTTATTTCTGCAAATAATTATAATAGTTCTTGAGGATCCAAAAATCTGTATGTACTGCCCTTCATAAGGACCTTGGCTATAAGTTAACTAGTCACTGAGATGCATGAGATATATCCCACTGAGAATTACTTTTGGCATATCTGCCATTTGTCTGGCAGTGGTCTCAGTTGAATACAGTTTAGCATCTTAAATATCCCCTGAGTGTGTTGATGTGCTTCTTGAGTGGTAGTCTGTAAGAATCAAATGATTTGGTCTCATAAAAGCTTCAGTACCGAGAAAGGCTCGTGTCCCATCTCTCAAGTTAATATGAGATTATCTGGAAAGCAGAGTGAGGAGGTGGTGATACCTGCCCACTCTCTCAGCATACTGCCAGGCCTTTCACAGTTTATAGCTGGTGACCGAGTGTTGAAAGCTGTTTGTTTAGCAGTCCTTGGTAATAAAAATGGCTGTAGACAGAAGTTGTATTTTTTGTATAAATGATGCTTTCAAAGCACCATGTAAACATATATTTTGAGGGTTTTAATATGCCAGTGTAAAATAATAACAAAACTACATTTTCTGTAGTTACTGGGGTTTTTTTTCAACCTCAAAATCAGGTAACAATAAGAAAGCAATAGGAAAATTAAAAATTGAAGTAAGTCTACAGTAAACTACTGTATTTCAGTATAACTGGATTGGAAGTAGTACAGTTGAAAATATTCTTCATATAGCTCCATTGAAAATTGACAGTATTTCTCCATACATTGGTAACATGCTTCTTCTTCCGCTTATAGCCCAGTCCCTCCCATTCTGCTGTCACTGGCATAGTAAACAGTTAACAAAACACTGAGCCTTTTTTTTGGCATTTGGAAAAAGCTATTCGTGTCCTAGTCTACTGTTAAATATATATTATTGATGACTTTACTGTTGAACTTTGGTTTGTCAAATCTCCAGAAATATTTAAATTGCATATAAAATTCCCACTTGTTCAAATCACATTCAAATTTAGTAGCTGTCAGAAGTAGCTTCTTGTCTTTGAACAACAGCAGATGCAAACTTTGGCTCAAAGTGCATATTTGAAAACCCTAAGTGACAGATGTTCTGGAATCCTTTGTAACCTTATTCAGGAAGACACATACTAGGAGCTTGAACTTGAGGGTGTTGTAATGCAGATCTCCCAAATAAAACTATATCTTCTATTCCATAGCATTTCATCAACAGTGTGTCGTGGAACAAAGGTCAGCTCTACAGTGGAGAGTTTCTATAAGTATACTGTTATGAACTGACTTAATTTCTAAAATGTAAAACTTTTGCTTTGTTATTGGTAGTTTAACAGATTTTGACTTTTTTTCCTCCTTCCCAGATTTTGGTGTTAGTGCATTTTTAGCAACTGGAGGTGATGTTACTCGTAATAAAGTAAGGAAAACATTTGTTGGTACTCCCTGTTGGATGGCCCCTGAAGTAATGGAGCAGGTATTTCTAATGTTAAACAAAAAATTGAAAACATTTTCAGTGTTTTATTTTTGGAACTTGAGACATTATCACCTTGGTTTTCCTTTCTGATTCTGTTTCAGGTGCGAGGTTACGACTTCAAGGCCGATATGTGGAGTTTTGGGATAACAGCCATTGAGTTGGCAACTGGAGCAGCACCTTATCACAAGTACCCTCCTATGAAAGTAACAATCACTTTGTATTACTTAATGCTGTTGGCTGTATTACTAATGCTGCTAGATAGCTAGTACTACTTCATTTTCAATAGCAACTCAAGATATATAAATAGATGTACTCTGTGGAGTATTTATTTTCTTGCAATTTCTATGTTTGGAATTGGTTTTGCTTACAACACCTCTTTTTTGGATTTATTTTAGGTGTTAATGCTGACGCTTCAAAATGACCCTCCCACTTTAGAGACAGGTGTAGAGGACAAGGAGATGACGAAGAAGTATGGCAAATCTTTTAGAAAACTAATCTCATTATGCCTTCAAAAAGATCCTTCCAAAAGGTAGGTGACTATTGCCATGTACAGAAGAATTTTTTTTTAAATATATAGTCTACTTTAAGTTACAGTGACATAATTTTTTAAGTGTATGATTTGAATTTTGTAAATAGCAGCCTTCAGTCATCTTCATCTGGGGAGAAGAAATTGCCTCCTAACGATCCCTTACGTTTTCTTCTTCTAGGTTGTTAACCTGATGTATTTATAGGTAAACATACTATTGAATTAAACTCTGATCAAATGCAAGTCCTTGCTCTACATCTTAATTTCTCGTCTGAGACAAGATATAAATCTTGATACAGTCTAACAAGACTGTTCAGATTGATCAACAGAACTGTAGGTAACCAAACATATCAGTCTCTTGGCCTCAAAAAGAAATTATAAATAATTCTATGTTGATTTTTCTCATTTTGTGACATAAACTTAGTGTTGCCTTATTTTCCAGAGAAAATTACTTTTTAAGATATATTTATTTTTTACTGTGAAGTTAGTGGCTCCAAGCTTGTTGAGTTTTCTTCATGTGTGTGTGGGCAATTGCACGTCATAGCATCTTTGCAATTTGTTCTTTGTTCTTGCTGTGTTTTGTGGATGAGACAGCCAAGATGATGAAAGTATTAAACATCTATTCCAAAGCCATTGCTGAGGTCCCTGAATGATTAATTTATCCATCCTTTATTCATTTTTATGCAGACCATTTTTGTAGGCTTCTTTTGCTGAAGACTTGTAGGAAGCCCATTCTAATTAACGTTATTTCTTAAGGCATTTAATATATCACTGTTTTGTAGAGTTTCAGAGCTAGTATTTTTGGAGAAAGATTGTTCTGAGAGAGCAATCCGGATTGTGTGTGTGTCTCTTATGATGTGTACTTCTCTTCACTGATGTTGTGCTAATCTAAGTCCAGGATGTTGTTGTAGGGCATCGAGTCAAAAAGGTGACAGCAGGCATACTAGAGAAAAAGTATAATTAGGAAAAAAATCTTTATTCTTGAAATACTTGACATTTTTTATTTCACTCAAGGATCATTTGTGTACTGTTTTCAGATTCCCAAACCCCTTACACTTGTTGATGTTAGTAGCAAGTCCTGATGTTTTAAGCTTAGTGCTAGAGTTTGGCTGCTTACAGATAAGCATGAAATGTGCTCTGGGTAATCAAGCTTCTTTTAGCTTCCATTGTTCAGCAATTTTTAGGGCAAGATTAAATGGGTATGAAATCATGAGAAATAAATAAAATGGGTTTTCCTTGTCTCCTTGAGTACATAATGCTGAGGTACCTGCCCTGTAGCTATGACATTAGTGTTGAAACACTAGTGTTTAAGGTAATTATGCTAATTTATGAAAACACATGCAATATCTTCATACTCAGGATTGCCTTGAATTAACAATAAGACCAGCAGATAGATGCTCAGAACTGTGTGCCAGTTACTCTATACTGCTATAGAGTGAGTATTCTTATACTGGGGGTCATCTCTAATTTTTTAAGTTTCTCACGAGCCAGGATCTAATTTTGCATGGAGATATCTCCAACAACCATGTCAGTTGTGAGAGAAGTTCTTGCTCTTTATGGCAAATTCTAGGACTGGTGTTGCACTGTTGTTGTCTCAGACTGTGGTGTTTTTCTTTTGGGGATCTGTGTGTGGGTGTTTCTCTCTCTCCCCAGTGCCAAGGATGCTGCTCACAGTCCTCAGCTGCAATTCACTGCCGCAGGCTGGGTGGAAAAACAGGGCCAGAAAGCATGTCCAGACTGGTTCAGAAGTGTCTGGCATAATTAATGGTAGAGGAATGGAGAACAGTAGTTTGGATGAAACTTTACTAAAATCTAGCTTTTAACTGTGCTTAGCCCTCTTATGAGATGTGATGGTACTGGCTCACTGTAATTGGAGAAAGAACTTTAAAACTTTGACACAGAAGCTGATTTTTCTTTTTAATTGTTTCCCTTCCTTTTTTGCTCATCCAAGATATATATGTGAATTACTGCCAAGTCTGGTGGTCTCCACAGGACCATTAACGAGAACTCCTTTACTGTAGAGTTTGGTGTTTTGGAGAAGAAAAAACCCTCCATACTCTATGAAACCTATTGTCTGTGTCTAAATTGAATGCTTTTTGTTAATGTCAAGGGTTGATTCATTATTTCTAGCAGGAGTGAATTGATATGTACATACAGATTATTTACTACTCCTTTTTTTGTAACTTATTTTTCAGATATGTCCTCAAAGCAATAGACTAGTTCAGATTTTAGTTTTTTTTGGTTTTGGGACTGGAATTTTCCAAATTGAAGCTTTCCGCTATCTTAACTAGTTTGTGCGATATTCCATCTCTTGCTTGAATTAAATGGAAAATGGGAGCAGATGTTACTACTGTTCACTTGGAAGTGATGAATCTTGAAGATTGTGACTTCCCTAAATTTAGCTCTGTCAAAATTAACTCTTGGATGGTTGTATGGGCTTCTCATGAAAGGATGAAAAGAACATGGAGGATTTCATTTCATCCCAGGAGATGCTTTGTTTTCTCTCCAGAGTCTGCTTCAGTACTCGAGTCTGGCTTTGGCTAGATAAGTAGCTTTTTTGATCCCTGAAGCTAGGGGAGACAAAATCTGCTGTTGGAATTACTTTGGTAGCTCTGAGATTGTGATTATCTGTTGAAAGTGTCAAAAATATAAACTTAATGATGATGAGAAGAACCAAACTTGAACAGAACTGCAAGTAAAAATGAAATGTCTCAGTTTTGACATTACGACTGTTGCTTTGATTTGTATTTGTCCATTTGACTGGAAGATGCTCCTGATGACTCTCTTTGGTTTATGCATCATGTTAATTGTGTCAGTATAGTTTCTTTTGAATACCTGCTGAAATCAGTCAAGTTAAAGAATGGCAGTAGCAGGTATTGATGCCACTTTTTGGAAAATGTAATTATGCTTTTATTGCTGTGGAGCAAAGTTTTAGTTGCATTTGTAGAGTCACTCGGGGAAGAAAACAATACCTGACTTTTTTTGTGTGTTTTGTTTTTTGTTTCTTTTAAAGGTAAAATGCACTTGCACTTGTGTTGAACAAAAAAGGGGGGGAAATTGGCAGCTTGAGAGACTGATTTTTTTTTCTCTTTTTTTTTGGTATTTTTACCGTAGAGAGGCTTAATTTTTTTCATGTGTGGTAAGTGAGTTTGTGTGAATTAATTCAGTAGCTATTATCATTCATTCCCCATTCATACAGTACTAATTCAAAAGTATTAGAGACGTACCATTTAACTAACGTCTTGTACTGTATTCACTGAGAGGGGTCTTTGTTTTCTGTTCTAATTTATTATTGATCTTTCAGGCCCACAGCAGCAGAACTTTTAAAATGCAAATTTTTCCAGAAAGCCAAGGTAAAACGTTTAACCCTACGAGTAAATTTTGCTCTGCCTTAAAATCTATGTGAAATTTCTGCTTTCCTCATATTGATTTTTAACTTAACAAATGTTGGTTTTGCAGAATAGAGAATACCTGATTGAAAAGCTTCTCACTAGAACACCTAATATAGCACAAAGAGCAAAAAAGGTGAGTATATTCACATCTTTTTCTTGATCGGTGTGGAAGAGAAAGCAGAGACTCTTTAATTGCCTTACCTTTTTAGTTGACTGACTGAGCCATTCATTTAATGCAGTCCTTCAAATATGGTGACTGTTGAATGACTGTTTTCTACAACCTTGCCTTTTCTTGGAAGCCCTGAGGCATTTTGACTTCCTTTCTGGCCTTGTCAAAATGATACATGATGTTTTTCTTACATAATATGATTTTTTAGCACTTTTGGAAAGCTACAGGTGAAGTAGTTGCAGAAAAAAAGGTGATCTGTAAGCATAAAGGTTCATAAACTGCAGAATTCTTGTCTTCACGGGTACTTAGAGAAAAGGTGAAGACACTATAAATGGTATTTATTGAGGACTGCCTGGTTCTTTTGATTATTTCAGTTGTTATTCTCAAATGTACATAAGTCAGGTCCAAGCTCTGCAAGAGTGCTTCTGAGTTACTCAGACCAGTGGAGCCTTATTCCAGGGTGGTGGAGTTAAACCCACAGCATATGATGGTATTTCTGTGGTGCCTTTGGCACTTATATAAATAAGCTTACCAAGTCATGTGCAGCAGAACACAAAAAATAATAATTCTTGATAGGTAAGTATTTAAAAACCTTTAAGTGTGAAGCAAACTACTGTTCATAAGAACTGAGAAATAGGAATGAATGTAGAATCCTCCTTGTGTGTGAGAAATTATGGCACTCCCTTTTCCCTTTCTGTTGTGACTGAACTCACATGTCTCTTCAGTATGAGGAACCTGCTCAGAGACAGGGTAGTGTGCCAAGTCTGGCTTTCTAAAAGCAGGCTTTCTGGGAGGATGTTTTGAGGAGGGCATTTCAGAAAAGGAACTGTTTCAGGCTTTGTTGGCACATCAGTTAGACTTCAGCTACCTGGACTGGCATTTAGGAGATACTCTGTTGTCTTTGAGAATTACCGCTTTGGTGTAATTCTACAACACTGAAATGTTCTGACAGCTGGTGGCTCATACTTGGAAGAGGCAGTCAGCAAGATTTGAATTCTATGAGTTCTTTCTAATCTTCTTTTAGATGGAAGTTATTTTGGGAAATTGTTGGCCACGGTGGGGCTTTGAGAGGTTGGAGTGGAAAGCGTTCCTGAGAGGGCTTGTGGCAGGGGTGGTGGGCTGAGCAGGTTCGCACCTGCGCGGGGCAGGGGAAGGGTAGTTCAGCGGTTTGGCCGTTTGGTGGCAGCAATGCCCACATAAAAAATGATCTAACTGGGAAAAATCATAGTTGTTTGGTTTTCATTTTATGTCTCGGGCCATACAGGAGTGATTCAGACATGTGCTAGTACCAGCTGGGTTTCTCGTAGAGCGTGTGCCTTGTGAGATTCGTCTCCCAGCTCTATCCTCAGCTCAGCTTTAGAGACTGCACGTTAACTCATGCGTACATGCACGTATACTTATTTCTTTAGGCAGCTTAGCATTTGGAATTGCAAAATGAATGCAGGATAGCCTCCCATACACCACCAGAAATAATTTTCTCAATGACTTTTTTGACAATTCTTTTTAATTTGAAAGATGTGTCAATCTTAAGAAATCAAAGCTGTACAGTGATAGAGACAAATTAATAGGTATTTAATTACATCATAACTAGAAAAAAAATTGGATTTTAGCTAGGGAAAATGCTAAATTATGTATATTTTAAAAGGACACAATATTAAAATTCATTTGGGATTTAAAATTTAATTAACTTGTTAGAATTTTGAATGTAGCTGCGGTTTTAAGACACCATAAAATATAAATGTACTCTAATAATAAAATGGTATTGGGTTTTTTTTTAAAAAACTTGTGTAAGTAGAGTTCGGTTGCTCAAACATTAACAAGTAAAATGTCTAAGAGGTCGCTCTTGGAAGAAATAACCCCTGTAATTCAAAAACTAATGTCACTGGGGCAATAGAGAGGAAGGAGCTAGTGTCATCACTGCTTAAATTATCTTCTGTAGCACTTGGTGTAAAATGCCTTTGACTAATGATCTGTAGCACCACTGCTAGTACAGATGTCAGATCTACCCTGCAGTAATTTAATTTTTCTTCCATTTACCACATCTCTAATTGCTTTGCCTTGTTGCCCAGCCTCAGTTTAGTTTTAACTTTAAATTCTTTTCTCTTGACATATTATTCACATGTTTTGCTTCTGCCTTTACAGCTTATATTTGGCAGCTGGTTTTTACTGAATATGAGTTCAGGTCTGTTTGTGAAATCCTGAAACCAGGTACACAGGTCTTGTATATGTGAGAAAAATATTTGATGCTGTAAGGATGTGTCCTGCTTTATATTTTGATCCTAATTTGTTAAGCAACATCTACATTGTGTGTTTAAAATACTGTTTAATATTAGAGTTGTATGCTGCATCTTTGTGCACATGTACCCCCTGTTCCAGTGTTTCTTTATTTGCTCTTAATTCTTCTTATTTTTAAATGATACCCTTCTTCCCTGCCTTAGCCTAGTAACTAAGGATAACACTGAACCACTTCTGGAATTCAGTTACTTAGGAGAAACATAGCTTGCCTCTTCCTGTGCAGAACCTGCTTAGATATACAGTGGTACTGATCCACAGGAATGAGTGTTACACCACTGGTCAAAATCATAGAATCACAGAATCATAGAATCAGCTGGGTTGGAAGGGACCTCCAAGATCATCAAGTCCAACCCTTGATCCACTACCGCTGCGGTTGCTAGACCATGGCACTGAGTGCCACATCCAGTTTCTTCTTAAAAACCTCTAGGGATGGAGAATCCACCACTTCCCTGAGCAGCCCATTCCAATGTCTGACCACCCTTTCTGTAAAGAATTTCTTCCTAATATCTAACCTAAACCTCCCCTGGCACAGCTGAAGACCATGCCCTCTTGTCTTGCTGATAGCTGCCTGGGAAAAGAGACCGATGCCCACCTGGCTACAACCTCATTTAAGGGAGTTGTAGAGAGTGATGAGGTCTCCCCTGAGCCTCCTCTTCTCCAGGCTGAACAGCCCCAGCTCCCTCAGCCTCTCCTCATAAGACTTGTGCTTGAGTCCCTTCCCCAGCGTCGTTGCTCTCCTCTGGACCTGCCCCAGGACCTCAGTGTCCTTCCTGATACATGATGTTTTGCTGGCAGTTCTAGGTTTCATTAATGGGACTGCTCACCTGTGAGAGAATTGCTGGTGTCCCAAAGAACTGGAGAAAAGGTAATGGTGAATGGTCTGAGCTCAGTGCAATTTGGTAAGCGAGGACATGGTCTGAAGCCACATTTTTGTCATCGATATAAATGTGGGAGCCGTGAAACCCCCTTGCAGCCTCTGCATGGTTAGGTGGTGTGGTGGTAAACCAGCCTGCCCTGTCCTGCTTGGAGTAGGACTGTGTCCACCCCTGGGATAAAACAGCTCACCCAGATTTTGGATCAACTATTTATTAACCTGTGCTGAAGTAGTTTTAATTTTGAACCGAACGCTAAATTGTTTCATTTGTGATTAGAATTGCTATATTGGAATAGAGCAAATTTGAAACAGCTTTTAGAGTTCCACAGTCAGTTTTCAAACCTTGTCACACTAAAAAATTAATTATAACTGTAAGTACTTTGTATGCCCAAAGGCCCTGGGTCAATTTTATGGTTTTATAATCCTGTTTTTTTTAATTTTGAAAATCTCCTGCATGACTGCCACTTCCACAAAGTGAACAGGGAAAAATACATTAAATGTGTCTGCATTTCATTTTATTGCTGTCTGAAGTGCTGCTAGTAAAAAAAATAAAAATCTAACTAATAATTAGGTTTGAATTCTATTTTTGGAAAGGTGGTACTGCATTGTGCTCTTAACAGAAGGTTTTTTAGAGCTGGGAGTTGTAAGTTACTGGGAAAAACCTGTGACAGCATGAAGAGATGATTAGTATGAGTGATATCAGGTTTTATTATACTTCACTAAAAATGTCCTTACTGATGGGTTGAAATTCTAGCTCCTCAGTACAGCTATTTTAAGGAAATGGCCATGTTTCCTTATATAAGAAATCATCGATCCCCTGCATTTAATGAGCAAAATATCATTATATCCTGGATTTTTTTGACAGCTCTAACAGCATGATTGCACCTCAGCAAGCCATACATGTGCAGCACTTCCTTGTTTCAGTAGTGGACTTAATCTGATAGATGCACCACACCGATGTTATATGTTAGTACAGCTGGACTCCAGCTGTCTTGAAAAGCAGAGAGCAACATGAGCTTGAGCTCAGCTTGTTACTAAAAATATGTATTAATTTTTCTTTACACTTTAAGAAATACTTATTTCATTAATGTTGATGTATCAAGTGAAGGGATATGTACTATACTGGAACACTTTTTCTGGAAAGCAGTAGCTGAACTATAACTATGTATTTGGCAAGGCTTTGTGTAAGGGAGGCCTCTCCATCACAGAGGATTAGTTATTCAGTTTATCCAGAACACTGCTACAAATAAAAAAATTACTGCAACCGTGTTTGTATTGTTGGATATTACTAGAAAAAATAAAGGAGAAATTGGCATTCGGAACCATGTCAGGTTTTTTATTTTTCAAGAAGTTGTTGGAAGGGAAATTTAATGAAATCACTTTTTCCATAAAATGTAAACTTGACAAAAATTCACATAATCAGAAAGCAGTGCCATCTGTAGTGGTTAGTAGAAGTGGAAAGTGTTTTAAGGGGCAGATATGTGAAGTTGCATCAGCTTTATTTTAACACTTCAGATAAAGGAAGAAGATTGCTCAGCATTTTTGCCTGAATGCAGTTGTGCCATTAGATGCAAAGAACTTCGTACAATATATGGGTTTGTCCATCTTTTCTTTCATCTGTATGGAGTTTGTGAGGTTGGATTATTGTGCCCTCTCAAATGGACCTAATTGGTACAGAACAGGCAAGCTTTAAAACAAACCATGGCTTAGTTGAGTGCCTTTGTACTTCAAATGGCCATATGCATATCTAAAATAACTTGTGCTACTTGTTATGGCAGAGTTTAAAAGCTCATAC